AGAAACTCAAGCAAAATTTTATTCAGAACAAATCATAGGGTCTTCTCATTTACGAGTGGAGCGACGCAAGCAAAGAATACAATTATGAGGAATAGATTGCTTTACTGGATAATTTTATATTGGTCTATAGTCCCGAACATCGTAGTTGATGTGAGGACTTCAATGCCTGGCTTTCGTCGTGTCATTAAATGTCAAATTCAGGGAATCTTTCTCTGTGGTTCATTGCCGTCTCCATTCCAGTTATTTTAATCCATCGCTATATAACGATGTTTATCCATGCATTATCTGTTCGGAATTGTTTTAAGAATATTTTTGATGTCCAATGATGGATTCGGAAATATATAATGCAATAGGCAAATAAAATATTCACTCGAACGAAAGGAGTGCCGAAGATCAATGATGTCAGCAGATATATGAAATAGCTGATTTCCATGTCCCAAGATTGTGCCGAACAAAATCTGTTAACATGTGGCTCGAGGTAATTAGGGCTTTAATTTATTTTGTTTGGAAATATAGGCAAATGATTATATTTATTATCCCATAGGTTATTTGAGGGTGCTTGTATACTTCAACTTTCAAGACATTGTAATTTCATAAATTGGGTTTATTTAATTAATCTCATTGTACTTCTGCACAAATTTACCTGACCCGACCCGAAAATTTTAGTCTCACTTCGCTAAATGAAAGAGAAAAGTAATGAAAAACTGAATTGGGAACGCAAAGTCAAGGGTAAATTCACGAGAGAAAGAGAGAGAGAGACAAGAATCGCTTCCAAGATCCTGTATCATTAAGCATATAGCTCCCTCCATGCCATGCTTGCATGAAAATTATTTTTGAATAAAATCCTGACTTACGACAATTTTTTAGATATTCGCACGTGACACTAATTCATATTTAAGTACTTCTCTAGAATTTACCTCTAACTCCATTAAACTAACATAAAATCGCACCCTCTAACGACTCTGATAAGATCTTCCAAGATCCTGACGAAGGCCGGAATATTGACGAGCTAACTTTTATCCGCTTCTCATTAGTAAAACCCTCATTAAGAAACGACTGTGGAATTTGAAGAAGAAAAAATTTGCATCGAGATCATTATTATGAAAGTTTCAACCTGAATAAACAATCAAACGTTCGTTAATTGAAGCTCCCGAATTTTCATAACATTTACATTGACCCCCACTTCATCGTCTTTTGAAACTATCTGGGATTCTCGATATTCGATATCTTTCATTGCCAAAAATTTGTTTGTTTACATCGTTCTTTTTCTTGAGAGGAAATTCGATTTTGATATGACGAGTAAAAAATCTGCATTCGACAACGATTTCACATTCCATGCTGACTGCTATTTGGAGACATGAAACTTTCCATTGTAATGGTTTTATGAACTTTATGATGTAATTGTAAAGTCGGTATAAAAATTTGACATCAATCAACAAATTGTAATTGACACTAACAGGTTAACCCAGCTCTGCTTACTTGGGCGGACACGTATAAGAGGTTATCGATGACAGGTTATCACTGCTGATACATCTGACGCGACATGTAAGTCCGAGTGGGAGAAAAACGGGCCACGCACGGTGTAACAGGTCAAATTGGCGGCTGGCTGAGCCTACTTTGCGCTGGAGATCCAGTCCTTTAAAGTCCTTCGGGCTGACAATTCAGACAAGAATTTTAATTTGGCTTAAGAACCGAGTCTATAGTACGCTATTCAACTATCATCACGTACTTCAAAATATAACAGCGATATCCTGTAGATTGCTTAAACATATTGCATATGCATTGACATATTGTGACATATTGCATCTGCTTTGCTGATGTGCGTTCGTTAAACTCTTTGTGTAGCCAGCACCAGATGTCACAAATAGTACCGTATTTCAAATCAATTAAAAAATGAATAAAATTTAATAAATAAATTGAGAGAATTCACCAATTCCCCAACCACCAAACCAGTTAAAACTTTTCAACTTAAAAAAACTATCTCTTCGTTTCTATATTTTTGTAAGCCTCATCATTTCTCGCTCATTTCGATAAGCATGATCTTTAGTTTCCACCCCATTTTTTCATGCGCCGGACTTCTGCTGCATCTTACCAGAGAGACTTTTCACCAAGAGCTTATTAATTGTTTCCAGCTTCAGGGATGCATGCAAACCTTCCTCTCACTCGGTCACTGTGACACGAAAAATAATATTTTTCTATACGCGAATAGTTCATACTGGATGCCCCTTAATTGGCTTATGAAGGATGCGGTGTATTCCTCTCCTGTGTACCGCCTGCACGTCATCCATGGGCTGCGAACCAATATAGTTCGCAGATGATAATTTGAGAAAAATTATTATTTCTAGGAGTTTGCAAATTCTCATCGGTAATTCATAAAGAAACGTAGATAAAGATCGAAAGAAGCTCAAATCATTTTTGTGTTTCTGTCAGAAATATAATTGATTAAAATAAATTTAAATACATTATGGGATTCAGGAGGTCGAATGATGAACTTATATTGGTAGGAATTGAAGATCTTGGATCATGTTGACCAGATATATGTCCCAAACAGAAGCAATTCTCTTTCTTATCCACTATCACATTCAATTGCGACTCGCCGATAAAATCTACTTTTTCACTTACCCTTGAAGAAGCGAAAAAATAAGAGCGGAAAAGTGAATTTTTGTGAATAAGAGATTGGGCGAAAATGTTACTAATTTCAACGGCGCCTCGTGAAGCTTTTCTCACCTGCTCGGGCTAACTTCAGCTGGGCTTTTATGCGGCGCGGAAGTTGAGTCTTGAGAAAGTATAAAGTTGCGGATATAAAGTTTGACTTTTAGCGCTAAGCTCTTGGGAAAGGCATTCAGTTTGAAGGTGGGTGTGGTTAGAAAGCATCTACATCGCAACTGAATCCTTAAAAGCCCTGCTCAAACAAGCTTCTCAGATGGAAATCGGGAATTCATAAAGAGATTTGCTGATGAAGTATAGGTAGCTATCGTGTGGCATGGATAAGAGGTTTTATACTTCACTACTGCAATACAATAATTATTTTCTGTTGCTGCAGTTCTAATCTATCACTTGTAAAGTTTAAATCCAGATTATTTGGACGACAGACAAAGTGGACTGACAATGCTATATTGAGTCAACCCAACAAAGAAACATTTACTTGTGGATACTCTGACATACTATTAACATGAAGATAATTAGGCATGGTCTAAAGAATTTTTCTTTCGAATGAGGAATTTACAACCAAATGGCTTATTAAAGTATTTATTTTCCTCACATCGATGCTAAATCAAGAATCTAAGTTTACGCAGTGGCGTTGAATGTCATATGCTCGAGTATTCAGAATTTCAAGTCATTTTAGTTACTCATGAATGTGGCTGAAGCTCAGCGATCGGATGTTCCATGTCCCTAAAACACTAACGAACAAAATAATCGTGTAGGTCGCATATTAGAGATAAGTGATTGACTTAAATAGCAATAATATTATTGTACTTCGATTTCATTCAATATTAATGAAAAACTAACTTTGATATGATAGGGATACATTAATCCCACAGGCTATAATAAATAAATAAAAATTCGAATTGTTTCCACTCTATTCCAACATACTCAATTAGCAAAGTTGCCAATTCCATGTCACATATCGCATGTCATGGAAGATTATTTATTGAATTTTATGCCCACACGAAACCTTTCTATCAGCCAGTCAGTAAATACGTTTCTTTGCTATTTAAACAACTGTCGACAGAGAAAAAAACAACATTATATGGACGGAATGATCTACAATTAACTTAATGAACTCCTTTAAGCCACAAATAAAATAAAAACTTGTCAGGGTTCAAGATCCGAGCAAGTTGGCCTAAACGGGCTTTTAAATGTTTTTTCTTTATGGAGAAGCAGGTGATATTTATTTGCAATCGCCGCTCCTCAAAATGAGCCGAGCCAAAGTGGTAATGATACATCACATCTCAAGCGTGATAATTACCCTGCATGAGATGCCTTCTATGTTTTAAAAGTACCTAATGGACTTCAACCGTCAAAGTTAGGCTGATGCATCCTTCGTAGAACTATCAACAATTTTGTGCATGAAACCAAATTTCCCAGTAAAAAAAATTTCTTGCACGATGGTTTTGATGTGCTTGCTCTATGAATATAATCATCGACTTCATAAATTGATGAAAGTTTTTGAGGAAACGTCCCTACTCCAGAACTCCAGTAGAACTCCAAGGCACATTTTCATTCGGTGCATTCCCTCAAAAGAAAAAAATTGAGAATAATAGTTGAAAACGAATTTTAGAAAAAAATTACTTCACACTCAACTCTGATGGACTCAATATGTTGGTTATGTGGTTGTTATATTGGATATATATGCATGTAATCTTCATAAAAATTTACCGATAAGCTACCAGAAAAACATTTTAAATCTCATTGCCAGGGTCTGAAAACCTGACGAGTTTTGGCTGAAAATGTCTGTTAGGCTTTGCAGGGGCAATATAATGACACGTTTGAAGTGTCGTAATGAAGTCTGTCTAAGTAAACCAGATTCTTGAACTCTGCGCGATTTCGTGAAATGACTTTATCTTGAGCTTCCAATAGGAATGTACAAATGCTCCATAAGAACAGGTTAATTCTCAGTTAATCGCGAGATGCATTAGTACGTTGAAAGTACATTTGGAATAAGGAAGAATTTACTGCCGCGAGAAAAAATGTTCTGAATATGTTAAGAGGGCTTGAATTCGAATAGGTAGATGGCAATAGGTTTTTATGGTTAATAGGTATAATTAAACACATTCGAGCCATATGTTCCCATGAGACCAGCGGCTGCCTAACTAATTTTCGTCATATAGAGGACCGACACCTAACGCGCGGTTGGAAGTTCATTATAGGCATGTAAACCGGACTGTACATTGTCACTACACTAACATATGCATCTTACCTATCGTTGGTTAAATCTCCTACACCATTAATTGACAGCAATCTGAACCATGGGAGACTCAATCTAGAAGAAAATACTTTCTTGGATGTTCTATTTCCAAAATGGACCATAAGAGAAATTAATTTGTCATTGTGCAATGCAAAATTTTGTACTCGTCTGCAATAAGTACGTCTTGTTCTTTCAGTTTACATGTTGCATGTTAAGCGATGAAAATTGTGCGTTTCTTTCTTCGAACTATAGTTATCAGCCGAAAATGGTGATAGCATTATACGAAGCGCTCTGAAGACGTTTGATTTTCAGTGCATGCATTTATAATAACTAGGTATTCGTGATAGTTCGTTGGAAAAGAAGAAACATATAGACGTTCCTATTCATTCATTGTTAAGACTGTAATTTAATTATTCAAATAACAACGCAAAAAGTCGTAGAGTGGAACGTAACAGCGCGTCTCAATTGAATTCGTCTCCTTTGGTATATTTTTTACAGTGTTTACGTTTTTTAGACGTTATGGAACGAATCTGTTAACTGGACTAATTCAGAGCGAAGCATTTCTCAACCTAGTAAAAGATTTATACACGAGATATCAAAATGCAGAGAAGATGTATAAGACTGTATGGATTATTGCTTAGAATACCGGCTTTGATAATATTACAGCAGAAATACTCTCACTATTTTCAGCGACACGCCATTCGATGAAGGGCGTGGTAGGTGACAACTGAACATCACTTCGAACATAACTCTTTCATGACCATTATAATTATAAGTGGAACTTGATTTCCATTATTTCGGTATTAAATAACATGCATACGTTCAGGAGAATGTTTTGTTTCTAATCATCTAAGCATTTTTGCACAGAGTGGCAGTGCACCCTAAAATACCGAGGGTACTATTTCTGAGACTAACGGTGCCAGCGGTGCTTTTTATGTAGGATGTGAGCACAATCGTCGAGGTGGTGAGATGCCAGTAGGTCAGGAAGCCACGGAAGGATTCGGCAGCGACTCCTTCATCAGAACGGCTCGAGTCCAGCAAGGAACTGGAGAGGTCTGCGTCTCCATTGTTATTACCCAGTGTCGGTAGAGCACGACCAGCCTCAAAGCCATTGCTCCTGCGACGTCTCATACACGCATTCCTCCGTGCAACTAGAGAACAGCAACCCATGTTACATCAATCATTTCATTAAGCTACACGTCATGTATCCCCCTAGTGACTAGTCTCATCACCCAACAAATATTCTCTCATAGACTACCATCATCAAGTTCAAAGTGCGCAAATTATAACGAATCTATATTATTTCGAATATAGACCCTCGGCGAGACGGCCAGAGCTCTGTTCGAGGCTAGCTGGCCGAAAGCAAGCAGGTGTGACGGTTGGTTTGGTGACCATTTGAGATCTCCAGTGGGAGTGAGAAGCTGATCTTATGAGCCCGCACTATGGGTGTTCTTCGGGACCCGTTTTCATAAAAACAAAGCAATTCATCGAGCAACGAGGACAGCCGACTACGAGGTGAATCTTGACTTCAGTGATGCTAATCATCCCCAACGACCCAAATTTACTCTCTTTCCTATGTAAATTAGCCCTGCATGTAGTTGAAGCAATGATGGGTCAGTAAAGTAGTAAGGAAAGTTGACGATACAGAACCGTGCCGAGACTAGATAAAAAATGTCAGGACCAAAAGGTGAAGTTAGCAGCTCTGTTCTCACTACCACGTGCGCACGCCGTGAGCTATAACGAGATTATTCCTCGTGGAAGCTACTTTAGTACTGGATCAGTCTGGGTAAGGGTTACTCTCCTGAGACTGGCGATGTACTCCTCTGTTAATTTAGACGCAACTTTCTTTTTGATCTAATTAAGGAAAACGTTTTGTATCTCTTTAGAACTGGATGTCTTCACGTACCTAACGAATAGATCAGATCACTCCAACCAGCAACCTGACGTGTAAGTAAAGGAGCCACTAGAAAAGCCAAAGGGAAATCCATCGTCTCAAGATGATTGATTTTTTAATTATCTCTAGGGGGAGCGTCTAGGGTAAAATTTATCTCGGCTATTTACAGACGGATCACTCTGAAACTTGGTACACATATGTAAAACAGAACTCTAAGACTTTTTGTTCATGTGAATTTTTCGAAAAAATTAAAGAAAACGTGAAAATCTAAGAAAACGGCCAAAAAGGGGGTACCGTAGAAATTTATCTCATCCTAGGCTTTTCAAGGTACAACATCGAGACACATATCATTCGATGCGTAAAGACCATATCTATAAAACGCTATATACGCGTTTTTTGAAATTCTTATTTTTGCTAGTGTGGAGGCATTTTTCGTAATTTTTTCGATTTTACCCCCCCCCCCACACACACACANCCCCGCCACCCCTCTTTTTGCGGAATAAAATCCAAACTATAACGAAATTAGAAAAACGCCTACAGCGATTCGTAGATATTTTTTGCGCATCGAATGGTATATGTCTCATTGTTGTAGCTTAAAAACTGTAGGAGGAGATAGGTTTGCAGTGACAATAAGTTAACTTTTCAGTAGAGCCCGTCATAGCCCCGCGCGCATCGGAATAGGCACTCAATGTAGCAAGGATACAAAACTAAACGTTACTGCATGGAGCTTGATTCCAGTCAAGGATGGTGGAAGCGACTGCTTGCACACCTCCTCATACGACGCCACAACAACAAACAAGTACAACGTACTCATACGACGACTGCTTGCACACCTCCACACCTCCTCATACGGGTAAAAAGGTGCACCTCAAGCAGACCAATGAACACTAAGAGCGCTCGCAGCGAATTTCCTCCCATTCTATTTGTTAAAGAACTCTCCCACCCTCCTCCATTTTATGATCTGTCGTGAACGCATAAATCAACGTACAGAAATGGTTTCGGTACCGTTGGATAGGTCAGAATGTCAGCTTTAAGATGAGACTAAAAACCGGAAAAGCCAAAATCCAAAATTTTAGGGTAGACGCTCCCCTTAAAAGATAAAGTAGCTCCATTAATCCGTAATCACTTCATTTATATGAAATTTTTACTCTATACTACTGTTGTTAAACATAGATATGGTAGAAACCGTCGCATGCATTCCGAACATTTTCTTCGGCGCATAAAGAAAATTTGATATTAATCGGAAGAAATTTGTATAGCTTTGTAGGTGAGGATACCTCCACATGGAGGACACCAATGAACCACATTGAACCAACGTTTAATCACATAGGCATTCTTCGCCGTATTTTGATCGGATATAAGAATTAAGATGACTTAGTTGCTTAAATTGCAAGTTTATCAAGAAAGAAAACAGGTAAAAATTCACCATTTCTTACGCGAGAAAACGTTTCTGAGTCCAGCTCCATCGTCAGTTCAAAAACCTAAAACACAACTACAAACAATTAGCAAACTAAAAGGCACACTGAAGAAATTAAATTATGAATTGTCAAATGAAAACAAATAAAAATGAGGTAAACATGCACGAGAAGGCAAATCTATTTATTTACTATTTCGAGGGGACATGAAGAGGATGTGGCATTTAGACTAGGCTTTTGTATAAAAACATACAGGGACTCTAAAATTCGTAGGTCAGAAAAACCGGTTGTGGAAGCTAAAACTCTAAAATCACTACCGGACACCGGGGCGTTGCACTACTCGGCATGAACGCGTACTCCTGAATGAAAGGAATGCGCAAGCAGGTTGCCTGTCCTATATAGTTGTGCGCAGTGTGCATCTGCGTATGTCGGTATGACATCACGCAATTTTTATACTAGGCTGGCAGAGCATAAAAGAAGGAGTTTTAGATCAGCAAACCTGCTTACGCATCCCCCTCATTCAGCAGTGCTCGTTCATGCCTTGCAGTGCAGCGTCCCGGTGTCCGATGGTGATTTTAAAGTTACTTGGTTAAGATGAGGTGCGTCACCGTCTTGAGTATTGGCGCCCATTTTAAAGTTTTAGCCTCCACAACCGTTTTTTCTGACATGCTTATTTTAGAATCCCTGTATATTGTCAAACAAAAGTTTAGTCTAAATGCCGCCTACAAATCAAATCCTTTCGAAATGGTGAATAAATATGTTTGTCTGCTCATGTTTACCCATTCTTTTTGTTTTTATTTGACAATAATTATTTATCTGTTTTAATATCTTTATTGTGAATTTTAGTTTGCTAATTGTTTGTACTTGCGTTTTAGGTTTTTGAACTGACGATAGAGCTGAACTCAGAAACGTTTTCTCGCAGAAGAAATGGAGAAGTTCATGCCCGTTTTCTATGCTTTTAATTTCTTGATAAGCATTCCTGTCGTATATGTGGTGACAGAAAGGTTATGCGTCGATACACTTATTGAATGCACTTTCTAATGAAGAATTAGAGACCCGAAAAAAGGTATTTGTGAATGTGATGGCAAATAGTGTAACTGAAAGTACTCACTGACAATGCAGGTCTGAGTGGTGCTGGTGGTGGACAGAACGAGAATTCTGGTAGTCGTTTGTTCCTCAAAGCCAAAAAATCGAGCATCTGGAAAGTTAACATAACATAGTCATGTTTGCCCTGAAGAGTAGGCCTGATGTGGCCTGTCGCCGATTCATGAACTTTTCGTGACATGAACTTTTCGCCGATTCATGAACTTTTCGTGAAGATCTAAAATCGTATAATTTGACAGGATCTTTTCAAGACTGACAATGGTTTGAAATGGCTACCAGACTTCCACCAGGATCGATATGGTGCTAGGCATTTCAAGTCTGAACATATTATTCTATAGCTTTATCTAGTCTTCTTGAACGCGTTCATACTCGGAGCCAACGATATAATCAGGGAGGCTGTTCCACATGTCGGAGATTCGAAGTGCGAAGAAATGTTATCGCATGGATAAGTTGTAGCGCAGTTTTTTTAGTTCATAGCCGTGGCCCCTGGTGTTGGTTCTTGTTTCAAATTCTAGTAATCCTTCGGAGACCTTGTATAAACCATGAGTATACTTGTATACTTCAATGAGGTCCCTACGCAGACGTCGATAACTGAGGCTTGGAAGCTTCATAATCTTTCATCGTAGGACTTGCCCTGCAAGCCTGGAATTATCCTTGTTGCACGTCTTTGAACATTCTCTATTAAATTTTTGTTCTTCAAATCTCGGAGACCACACAACGTTTCCAAACCCCTAGATTCGGACGTACGACAGCAACAAACAACTGCTTCATCGCTTCTGCATCAAGGAACTCTTAGGAGCGCCTGATTAGTCCAAGAAGTTTGTTGGATGTATCAGCTTGCGTTTCAACATTCTTACAAAATTTCAGCTCCTTGTCGACATAAACTCCGAGATCTTTTTCCACATTAAACTTTTCAATCATTACTCTCTCGAGCAACCATGTCTTCTCATACTGTAATCTTGCAGTTCATTGTTCATCCCGAGTTGAAGTACTTTACACTTGCCAGCATTAAACAGCAGCTGCCACGTATCAGCCCAGTTAACTAAACTGTCAAGATCATCTTGCAATTGCGCTTTATTTGACGTATCCTTCACTGTATTATAAACTTTTGTGTCGTCGGCATACATGGAGCACACGCTGGACACTACCTATGGCAGATCGTTTATGAAAGCAAAGAACAAAATAGGCCCGAGAACGATTCCTTGTGGCACGCCACTGCGCACTAATGCCCAGTCTGACACGGTTCCTTTAATACTGATACGTTGTCGTCTACCTACTAGAAAATCTCAGATCCGTTGAAGTACGTTTTCCTCGATTCCAAAAGACTTCACTTTACTTAAAAGCCGCTCATGCGGAACACTGTCAAATGTTTTGGCAAAAATCGAGGTACAATGCAACCACTGGCTCCCTTTCGTCCAACAGGCGAATCCAATGGTTCAACGTAGACAATAAGTGAGTGGTGAAAGATCTTCCCGCAATAAAACCATGTTGACAATCTGATAGGAGATGGTGAGTAGTCAAGTAATCGATAATCCTATCCCTCACAACAGATTCCATTACCTTACAAACAACGCTTTTCAGACTGACAGGGTGATAGTTATCGGGGCTACTTTTGTCACCATTTTTGAACAATGGTGTTACATGAGCTTCTTTCCAATCGGACGGCACAGTTCCTTCGTTCAAGCTTTTTTGAAAGAATACTGTCAATGGGCCGGTCAGAACGGCTGCTATATCTTTGAGCAATCTGGGATGGAGGCCGTCTGGTCCACATGACTTGTTGGGATTTGGAGCTACCAGGCGCTTGAGAACCTATTCTTTTTGTATTTCAAAACCGATTAACTTCGTGCCAACTGGGCGCTCCTCAATATTTGGAATACTGTTCAAGTCCTTATTTGTGTACAGACCTACTGCTGAGGAATTGATTAAGAACCTTGGTCTTGCATTCATCGGAGGAAATCTTTCGTTGGTCTACTTTCAAGTCAGATATACCGTCCTTTGTCTTACACTTCGAACTAGCGTACAAAAAGAAGGCTTTCGGATTATTTTTTGCATTTTTATCAATATTTTTTTTCGAAGTTTTTCACTGCAGTGCGACAGACCTTTTTAACTTGATTTCGAGCTCTTGTATACAGGTTATAATCAGAATCGTTGCGAGTTCGTAAATAACGCTTGTAAGCTTCCTTCTTGGTCTTTAGCTGAGCTTTAACTGTACTGTTGTCTAAAACGATACTAATACGTCTAGTAGAACGTGACCGTTCATGACGAGAAAAGCCGTTTTCAGGCAGCCACCTGAAACTACCTCATTTGTGTCGTAGATTCGGGTGCGACCGGCCACTGTTCCGGTCGCAAACTTTAGCCTTAAGTCTTCTGAATATATGACTATATTCAACTATATGATTTGATATGCATATATAGTCATAAGTGAGTGATTTTTAGGTTAAGTTGTTAGTCAGAAGCAGCACTGTGCACCTTGATCATGTGCTTGAGTGACATTTTCATACAGTCTCACCTGATTTTCAGCTGCAACCTGTTCACGTATTAGGGAAACTTTTATCTTCATACTGGTTCCAACTTAGCCATATAAACTCAATCGTGCATTCTTTGAGCTACTGCGATCTAAGCGTCAGCGGTTTCCGGCCTGACGTCTGTCGCCCTGCCTGACGTCTGTCGCCCTGCCTGACGTCTGTCGCCCTGCCTGACTTCTGTCGCCTTGCCTGACGTCTGTCGCCTGCACGGGACGAGCACGGGACCAGCCCTGGGACTAGCGTGCGCCCTAGGTCATGAAGGTGAGCTGTGTGATTTGTCACAGTTTTGAGCCCATGAATAGGGGGTGCGTGTTGCTGTCTAATAAATCCTAAAAGTACTTACCATCCGCATTACTACTCGTAAAACTATTACCTTATAACTATAACTATTACTGAATAACTATAACTATTACTTTGAACCCATAACTGAAACGAAAGTGAAATCTCTGTCGTATTCCCCCAGCTTCCCGATCTTCGGACTGCACGGGTGAGACACCGACCTCATTCGAGCGGGGGCCAAAATCTATCTCCAAGCGTCAATATTTTTGTGCCAGTATTTTGCTCCTTATTAAATAAATATCTGGTATTTTCGACTAGTTCGATTTATTTTGTTTCTCTTGGCCTTTCGCGTTTTCGTTAACTGTTCATCCACAGGGACTTTTCACTCCTCCAGGCGTAATCTTAGGTAAACAGGCATAAACTGCAGACATAACCGTGTCATTGAGAATTGACCTTGAATCAGCCACATTCATGTCCTACAGTCCGAAATATTCGCCGCATTCACCGCTTCGCGGAATTTATCATTGTCGCCTTTCGCAAAGTTCAAACGTTCACGTTCCCAAAGCGTCTTTTCTGCACAACACTTAAATCTGAAGAAAAAATGATTGGTGGTGGCTTTTGCCAACGGAGCCCCGTTGCGAAGCTCATCTATCATTGATTCTTCACTAGAAAACACTCGATCCATAATATTGGGCTCTGTTTATCTCTAAAATGGGTTGGTTGGTGATGTCCTGGATTAAAAATGAGTCTCGTGCAGACTCCAAGAGTTACTTGGGTGATACTGGGATTGGATTCCCATCTCTTGGAGAAGATTCATCTGCCCAATCTATTTCTGGATGGTTAAAGTCACCAACGAGCAACGTATGCGACCTGCTGAAAGTCATGCTCGGTAAAAGGCTGTTTAGTACTTGATCGTTATCAGAGGAGCTGTTAGGTGATCTATAAAGGACCCCTACGAGGAGGCTATCCTTGCTTTTTAGAGTAAGTTCGCACCACACTGATTCTCAAGCTGATTGATTCTCTGCAGATAACTTAACTTGCTGGGCCCCATATAAGTTGTTCTAACCCACAGAGCTACACCACTACTGAACTGCTCTTCATTTAAGTTATGAAAACAATCAAAACCTGGCAACTGAAATTCAACAGGTATAATTTTCCCCCCGTGGTTTTTACGGAGTGTTTCTGTAATACAAATAATGTCTATACACTCGTTTGCGATCACAGTTAACAGTTCACCTTTTTTTAGTTCAAAACGGAATCCCAGTTCGTGTAAAAACATATTATAACTTTTTGTCCACTTTCGCTTTGATGTATGTGGTCCGAACATAACATTAATTTGGAAGATTTCTGTTATTTCTTAGAAATAGGGAAGAAAAACTAAATTAACTAGATTGCGAGGCAACGGCGAAAGCTAGGCAGCACTAACAAAAAAAATATATACAATTACACTGGTACGCCGTTACTTCAATAGAAATATTCAAGATATTGGAACCCTTACCACGCATAGTGCGTGCACAGCACTGTCGCACCAGTCGCAAACTATTAACTGAAACGAATTTCGACCCACCTAGAGCTTGCCAACTTCTAGGTGTGAATTTTTCCGCTGTTAACGTCTTATCAACATAGTGCAACATTCTGCACCGGTTAATTTCTTTAATTTGTGTCTCATTCTTCATTGAATTAGTAAACACAGATTTTAGAAAACATACTGAATTCTAATCATCCGATATTATTACAGTAATAAATGACTACATAATGATCATATTACTGACCTGTCATGCATAAGCTTCCTCATGTAAAAACTGCCTATTGTAAGAAATATTTTTCTTCACGTGTTTATCATGCTGAAAAAGTTTGAATTTTGTTTTAATAATTCAACAATATTCAATGATATACGATTTTAAGGAATTCCTACGCCCCACCAATTCGCGGCGTCGTCATTTTCGCTCCCTCCGGCATCGCCACCCCCATTGTGGCCGTCGTCGCCATTGCCGCCATTGTGATGAACAAAAGAGAAGAAGACGTGCCTAGCATCTGTGAATATTCAGGACAAATATTAAAATATACTAGTGTTCTCCGTTGATTATATAGCATTCACAATTGTGTGATTTATTTTTTTTTATTTGTACTTTAGTGAGAAGAGAACCATTTTGCACTACGAGGAAATCATTTCAGACTTGTTAACGTACTTTGAAAACAACGGTAGGGCAACGTGGGGCAGCGCCCCCCCCCACTTTTTTTAAACTAAATTTTTGATAAAGTTTTAATTGATACGAGGTGGTTCTTTGTTTTGTTTAAAGGTACAACTAATGATGAATGTACGATGTGAATTAGACGCCTATAGAGTTATTCAATTTTTAATGAAACACCATTTTGTAAAAAGTGTCAAAATGGGCCCATTGCCCCACCCCTGGGGCAATGGGCCCATGGGCTTGGGGCAAGGTGCCCACCCTTGGTCCCTTTACAGCAATTGCATATTTTTTCGTTTAAAAATGATAAAACAACACTTTACAGTTGAAAATAAGAAAAATGTAATAAAAAATGTGACATTCATTCATTTATTAACAAATCAAAAAATAATATCCTTAGCTTGAAAAAAATACCCTTGGCTTAAAAAATCTATCACTGACGTGAAGAATAATATTTCATTGACATAAAAATGTATATCCTTGACTTGAAAAATATATCCTTGCGATAAAAAATTCGTCCTTGACATGAAAAAATATATCCTAGACTAGAAAAAATATATTTAGTTGATCAGAGAAAAACTTCGTTCTAGTTTCGTCCATAATCCAGATATTATGTGCAGAGAATTCGTACCTAATCGTGATTTCAGCCAACACCATAAAAACTCATCAACTTTTGGCTCATTGGTGTTGACTGAAATCAAATTTTGGCAATGCAAGAGTCAATAACTCGATAAGGGGTCATAAACACGCATAACTAGAAACTAAACCTGCTGCCTTGAGGCGGCAAATCAAAAAATCATGCAGTATGAAGAGTAATTTGTAATTCAAAAAGCTAGTCATAGTTTTGAAAAGGTCATTGAGACAAATCTAATGATGTATAACACAAGACTTCACCATGGGTGCTTTGCCCCGTGACACGCGTGGGCCCGTTGCCCCCACTAGGTATCAATTCAATTTATATCGATTCAATATTTTATTTTAAAAGCTAATAGTCTAAACTTGATCTCAAAATTATCCCTATAAATATTCCTATCAAAATATAATTCACAGTAATTTCAAAAGCTTCATCTGCAGTAATCGAAAACAATTTTATTTAGCAGCAAGAAATTTTTTATCTGGACTAAAACAGTTATTCACAAATAACTTAATAACGCAAACACTTAGCAAAACGTAAATCCGTACACTTCATCCCAGTGAAATTTTCGACCGGCGGTAGAGAACACGGACCAATATCTGCCATACTTAGCGAGAAACCCGCTATGGGCCCATGACCCGCAGTGGGCTCGCTGCCCCATGTTACCCTATAATACTTAAAGTTTATGGGAAATCAAGGAAATTTGAAACACCAGTTAACTATAGATTGTTAGTCAGAAATCAACGATGTTGTATCTGTTAATGGAATAGGCTGCCTCGTGTGGAATAAGTTTAAAATATATGACTATCTAAATAATATTAAGGTTATTTTCCATAAATTGATCAAGTCCCTGCATCCAGTTCAAAGTAAAATTTTGAAACTCTATTAAACTCCAAGCTTATGAATTATTTATTGAGGTATGTGTAGCCTGTTGGAGCAGAACTTTTAGGACAATAATAACATGTAGAAGTTCGTTGGGTGACAATGACATCGTCTATGTAAAAATCGGCAAAAAATAAACTTGTTGATTTTTTACGAAACCTTTTAAGCCTAGATTAATCCTAAAAAATCGAACTGAATGAAGGTTAGTTGCGATTAAAAAAATAACAGCAAGAAGTAAATTATAAGTTTTGTTCGTGTTCAATTTAGTTTTCATAATCACCAGGAGTGACCAAAAAAAATGATTATCAAATGATACGATCTTTGTACAGAAATTTGACTTATTGTACTGGGAAAAGATTTCTCATCATTAAAAGAATGTTGATTATTTTGCAATCATTTGTTTATGTTATACTGTGCTCTTTCATTAAAATTGTCAATTCAATTTCACGGCTGATCATTCCAACTTAACGAATTTGCCATACCATTTTTAATCCATCTTCTTTCGTTTCAACATATCTCGTTTCTATTTTTTTGAGAATTATATTTACCATGATAAAAACCTGGAAATAATTGATGTTTTATTTTTTAAATTGCTTCTACAATCCCATTGCGAGACGTACAGACCCACCATGCTACAGCGGTCACCAGGAAGAAGTGCTCCTTGCAAATGATGATTCTTTAAATATAGACCATATTTGCTGGTGTTAAGAATTTTATCTTAAATTTCCTCATCAGTTTACAATTCATTTTCCTCGAGGGAGTGAACTTTTAATTGTTTGAATGTTCTTTTATTGATGAACTTTAGACAGAAGAAAATGTATAAAAACAAGTACAACGTACTTCTTATCTCGTTCTGAAGCGAAAAGTCAAAGCTCGGCGATTGGTCCGTCTAAACTTGATTAAAAGAACACGCCTCCACTGTTACATTAAGATATATTAAAACGGTACCAGTTTTATGATAGGACTATTTGAGCTTTGAAAAATTTATGCGCATCTATATAGTGCATACATTCTACAAATTAATGTCACAATTAACGACCGAAATAGAATGGAATCATATACCTGATCCTGAAGCACTAATAACTATAATTTAAGGATTCACAAAAAATAAAAGCATTAGTTGCGAATGTGGAATAACCAGCGATTTCGTTTAAGTGTCAATAGTAAGTATAAATATTTTATCCCATCATAAACATTCCTAAACCTATTGAAGGGACACGGTGCTTTTCTTTCGAATGTCCTAAGTTAATAAATAACTACAACTTATTTAATTATATTTCTATACATAATAACATGAAACCAATATTGGATTTTTAGGCTGAATTCAAATTACTTCTATTGGGACAGAGCTCGCTTGGCCGACGTGCGGAAAGCTGCACAGGCTCACAAACAATATTATTTCCTAACCGTACGCATTTCCAGATACTTGGTCAACCGGGCATCCCGCAAGACGAACCTTATCGTAAAACTGTAAATTACACCCACACAAACAGATTAAAAACGAAAAAAAAATCCCGTGCATTGACTAACGACACTAAAACTCATCACGTGGTGAGATGGGAAACACAAAAGAATGAAAATTATTGGGAGACTTGATCTCTACGAAGTATTCATGTCACTGAACAGATATGATGTAGCAGAGGTTGAAAAGCCAGTACTTGATGAGGTATGTGTAGAGGGTCACAAAACGGAAAGGCAGTCTCTGCAGCAACGTCCCGTTACTGATCAGGCTGGCCCATCAGAAATAAATTGACTTGGATGTACTTCGGTCAAAAATCCAATTTTGCCTTCATGTTATTATCTACGTAGGAATAATTAGATAATTTGTAGTATTCATCCCAGTTACATAATTTTTAGATCTTTGAAAATAATGCACATGTCCATTCGGTGTAGGAATGTTCGTGATGTGAATAGATTATTTAAAATTACCAGTGACATACCTAAATGAAACCGCAATTGCTATCCAGGATTTGCAAATCATGCTGGCCTCACTGAATCCTAGAAATAATACTTAATACTCAAGTACGAAAAAAATACTCAGTGCGAAAAAAGCGTTTCAATACCCCGAAATTCCCGCAATAAAACTAATGCTGTTTTATTGTGTTCTAAAATAACTGTGAAAGCGTGTTCCTTGAATCAAGTTTAGATGGACCAATCGCCAAGCTTTAATTTATAACGTCAGAACGAGATAAGAAATACGTTGTGGATGCATGTTTTTATATTGGTCGGCTGTCTAAATTTCGCGATAAAAGTACAATCGAATGCAATAAAATTCTCTCGCACGAGGAAAACGAATTATAAAACGATGGGGAAATTTAAGATTAAATACTTAGATCAAGCAAACACGTTCGATATTATACAAAGGAATCAGCATTAGCAGGGAGCACTTCTTCCTGGAGATCGTTAGCAAGATGAGTTGGTGCATCGCGCGACATAAACGAATAAACATTTCACGACATTTTACTCGAAATTATACTTTAATAAAATTCAAACGAGAAATGCCGATTTAAAGCAAAAAGCATTATGAGAGGTATATATAGTCAGTTTGATAAGTTGAAATGATCAACACGTGAGATTCGATAGATGGTTTCAACGAGCTACCTGTACCATAAACCAATGAATACAGAATAACGAAAAACTTCTTAATTATTTCAAGTTACTATGTAAAGTTCGTGCTTTTTTTGTTATGTATTCCAAGTAATTTGAAATGTTAATTGATCATCATCAAAACTTTTATCATCTGCTTCATGCAACTACTTTTATCATTTTTTTAATGTTCTGAACATTCTTTTAGAACGAAATTCTTCTGTATCATATTATCATACGGTAAGAATAGCTAAAAGATTGTCAAAAAATTATGATTATGAATCGGAATGCTTTTATAATTTCCTCCATCATACAAGTCAAGCTATGTGGCCGCCTAAGTAAAGCATAAATATTATTCCATTGATTTTTGAACTAGCAATCTTAAATAACGGTTGTTACAAATTTCATAAATTGCTTATCAACTTTAATCTTTATTCACTCGTTTTCAAAGTATATTAATAGTTGATCTGAAATGATTTCCTCATACTACAAAAGAATGCTCTTCACATTAAAGCACCAAGAAAGAGATCGGTGATAAACAAAAATGAAAGTGAATTGAGAACACTAGTAACTTCTAAAAGTTTATCCTGAAAATTCACAGATGCTAAGCGGGTCTTCTTCTCTTTTGTGCATATTAATGATGGCAATGGCTACAACTGCCACAACGGCAGCGGCGATGACAAAAGGAGCGAATATGATGAGTGCGGCGCCACAGAGATGTGGACGTTGGATTTCCTCAGACTCGTACACCATTAAATATTACTCAGTTATTAAAATATATCTCAAAATTTCCCCTGAATGACCAGAATCAGGCGAAAAAAATGTGTCTCATAATAGGTAAATAGTCATTACAAAAGCTAACTCATGCAAAACTGGGCAGTAACATGAGCATTACGGCTAAATTGGTAAATTACTAGTGTAATGATCTGAAGTACTAAGGATTCAATAAGTCTCCTTAAATGAGCTTTGATTTGATCGGTAAAGAATGAAGCACAAATTCAGAAAATCAATAAGTATTGTGCTCAATTCACAGCAGATGAATCATCCAATTCAGTAAACCGGAAACAGAGGCTCCTTTGGTTAGAAGTAACGGCTAGCAGAAATGGAACCTCTACCCCAATGAATAAATGGTTTTTAGGATGTTTATTGCCAATATGTATACAATACGTGGACCACATTAAAAGCTAACATCAAATTTTATTTTATTAACGTTCACTCTCCTTGATACCTCTACAGGTTCAAGCTCTCGTTTATCTGGTATTTGTAGCTGATCCAGATCAAGATTTCGTAGCTCAACGCACGCTGCAACGTGTAGTGTTAACCATTAACTAAAACCGATGTCAAACTTTCGCCGTTGCCCGCTATCTATTTCTTGTTGCCATTTACGTAAATGTAACGGATATTTTCATAGATAACATTTTAATTGAATACACTACTAGCCTTAACTTTGCAGATGCTCGATTGTTTGGCTTAGGGGAACAAACAACTACCACAATTCTCTCTCTCCACCGTCACCTCCACTGAGACCTGCGTTTTAAGTGAGTGCCTTCAGTAACACTCTTCGTCATCGCCTTCATTAAAACCGTTTTTGCTCTGTTTTTGGGTCCCTCCACTATATAGCTCTTTCTCAAATATTGCATACTTTTTTCATCCCGACCATGACCAAGACCTGACGTGTGTTAATGTGATTTCACGGTTGACAGGTAGGTTCAACGATTTCCTCTAGTCAGTGTACCCACACCTCCAACGCTGAACGGTCACTCCCGATAGATATTAAATGTTATTATTGACTGAACACGTGCATAACCCATGTAGCTGATCCTACAATATCTACATTAAAGTTCGGACGTGTAGAGGTAAAATTGGATATAGTGTTATTTGATTGAATAGCTGCTTCATCTATTAATATCAGTGAATTAATCAATCATCCAGCAACGATGAATTTATCGCTGGCCATTTTTGCGCCTAACCCATATAAAAATTAAGAGTGGAGCACCTATGTTTTTATGGTGGCTATCGGCGGACGCCATAGGTGGAGCTTCTATGATTTATACAGGAATTAAGTGTGGCGTGCACCACTTATCCCACACCTATAACCTGCCAATAGCGATAGACCAGAGACAGTTCTCCAGGCAGTACAAAAACTCGTTGAGGACTTTAGAGCCGTAGGGCTGGAGGTAAACCAGGGGAAGTGTGAACTGATCATACTGAACCATTCGAGAGAGGAAGAGCTCGAGACTGAGGAGATGTTTCGGGGGGTGTTGTGACGGGCACATATGGTGAAACGACTGGTCCTTTAATATCACAGATTGGCCGTCGCATTACGGAATTGTCCGGCGAACGTAGAGAGACTCTATGGTTGGAGTAAAGGTTGGGTTTGGCCGTGCAGAGAGGCAATGCAGCTAGCATCCTAACAGCAGTCAGAGAAAAGTTCGACGCGGGCCTGCTCCTCGCTCGCGTCACAGCTCAGTGACCCTCGGAGTCGGTGTAGGTCACCATCAGAGGCGTTAAGGTCGGGGCCCTGATCATTGACATGAAACCATTCCCTGTTTTTAATTAATAAAATCACTTCCTTTTTTTTGTTGGAATGGTGAGTGTGGGAGGCCTTTAAAAAAAACTGCCAATTGCCACCATACCCGTAAAGATCTTCGTACACCAATAACTACCCATTGGCACCGGTGGCGCATCAATGAGCCACCAGTGGCCACCTTTAAAATGAATTCAATAAAAAATTTTTCTATAGTCTCAAATCCGTTGCTTCTGCATTTACTGATTATTGCTTCACCCAATCACCATTCTGAGTGCTACGTATGCAAATCTACCATGGCAGTACAAGTAAGTGAGTAACAATGTCAGACATGTAGCAGGAACATATAATCAGAGTACCATACACATACCTCGTGAGAAATCGACTTGAAGAAAGTCCCTGCCTGCAGGATTCGAACCCCGATATCCCGCACGCGAAGCAGAGCCTCTACCGTTCACCGTTGTGCCATCGGAGATGACATGGCTACCGATTAATTTTAAATGATTTAACTGAAGTATTGCAAATATTAATTTCATCAAAT